ACAAATGTGCTTGGCACAATGGATGTATGTATGTATTGTGATAAGAGCTGTATGAGCCTCCAATAAAATGATTTGGGGGAAAAAACACCTTAGTTATCTGGCTTAATTAGCTTATTTATCTATTTAAATTGGCCACCTACTGTGTCTGAGGTGCAGTGCTGTGTGCAGGTCATAGAACAGTAAATGAGGTAAACATGATCCCCATTTTCTTGGACTTGATTGGTTTCTTGGACACAAACAAAGCCTTTATTCCTAAACGATTTCGTATTTTTGGTGCTTCTGTATATAATATTAGCTTTCAAATCCCACTGATAATTGTCCTTTGCTAGCATACAGAATGGTGCCCTGGTGGTGTAGTGGTTACATGTTGGGCTGGGACCCGCATGCATGGGCTGCAGTTCAAAAGCACCAGGAGCTCCGTGGGAGAAACACTGGGCTTTCTACTGCCATCGACAGCTAGTCTTGGACACCCACAAGGGGGTGAGTGGGCATTGACGTGATAGCAGTAACAGGAGGAGGAGTATATGGAATACATCTAATTTTTGTATGACTGTCCTTTAACAATTTTTATTGTGAATTGGATTGGGGGGATTTTATACTCTGTAACTTTGTTAAACTCATTTATTACTTCTAATACCTCTTTTTATAGAGTTATTAGGATTTTCCACATATATGATCATGTTGCCCGCAAATATTTACTCTCTCAAGATTACATGTTTCATTCTTCTTTTTAAGATAACTAATTAGCTGTGGGGTAGAATCCCTCTACTGTTGTGCTAATGGATGTCAGGGAAGTAAAAGTAGACTGTTTGTTCAAGTTACCCAGAAATCCCTCACTACTTTCAATCGCTCTTGTCAGGCTTCTCTGACTTTTTTTTCAATCAGTTCCCAGGGTCCTTTGCTCACCATAATGTTCTCATGAGCAAGGTAAGACAGATAGAATGACTATTTTACAGACAGTGGTGGGGCCCTAAGAGACTCACACAGCATGTCAAGTGGCCAGGCTGGTTCTCAAAGAGCCAGGCCTTGGCCTTGCATCTAAACAAACGATGGGAAAAGAGAAGAAAAAAATTTAACTTTTCAAGGCTGACTCAAAAAGTTCTTCAAAATTAAAGACTCAAGAAGAAATAAATGAACAGTCTAAGGGATTATTGCTAGGAATGTTTTTTTTCCCTTTGACGGTTTATAATAGTCATAGCTCCTTTTATAGTACTCCCCTTTCCCTTGGGGGTGGTGAATGGGGAAAGGAGAGATATAATCCAACCAGTCTTAGAGACTAAATCTTTTCTTCAAGATGATTTGGCTTTAAAATATCCTATTTAAGCCCACATGCTTGAAATGACTCTTTCAGAACTTCAGTGACTTATTTTAAGCTTACCTATTTTCATTGAAATTTCCAGTGTACTTGGCCCCAGTAGGGAATATGTAAGTCCCCAATCCATGAAACATATTGTCTTTAAAATGTCCTTCATATACTGCTCCTGAAAAATGTTCAAGTCTTCCAAAACCATTCATCTGTTGGTAGCAAAAGAAATGACTTTGATAACTAACATCCGGTTTCCCTAGAACCTTAAAAAACGTGCATATCTATTATACACTTTGTCTTAAATATCTACTGTTGCTATAGCAGAAAAGTCATGCATTGATGATTTTAACAAACAGGAATTTCTTTTTCAAATCTGGGGTGCCAGCTCTAGGGGGGGGCTTTTATCTGTGGGCTCTGCAAGAAATCCTTCCACTTCTGCTTGCTGGTTCCTTGGGGATCTCCATGCTGTCTTGGCACCGATCTGACCCAGCTCTCTTCTGATGACTTTAGTTTGGTCCCTTTTATACTGTTTCCCCAAAAATAAGACAGTGTCTTATATTAGTTTTTGCTCCCAAAGATGCGCTAGGTCTTATTTTCAGGGGATGTCTTACTTTTCCATGAAGACGAATATGGTATACATTTATTGTTTATTGTTTTATTAAAAGAGACCTTGCGTCTAGATAAAGACGTACATATGCAAATATATTTATA